ACACCGTGTCCAAGCACCGGCGTCGGTGTCGCATTGTCTTTGGCCATCCACCAAACCCTAGTCCTTGGATGTTTAGTGTGATGTTTCGACATACCTATACATTAGGTATGTCAAAACATCACACTAGTGGATGGAAGATACGGCAAACTGCACTCTGCAGCATACTGCCATCGATCTAGTTGTGATGATTGGCAACGGACTATGCGTGTAAAAGCTCACAATATTGTGTATGACACTGGTGTTAATCACATTTTCCTATCTCTACGGCGCATCTCTATCTCATTGCTGTGCGTCGCCGAGACGAAATCGTCAGTCATGGCGACACCAATACAGGTTTCGGCGGTCCGAGTGATGAAGTAGGCGACCAAAAGCTATCGTTATGCGATGCACCGGTATCCACAACAGTTTGGCGATGATCATTACATGCCATCGAGGCGGTACCAAGACTCCGTCGTCGGCCAAAGTAGCGCCACCTGCAGGTCTGCAATTGTAGGGTTAGGTGTCAACAAATTTGACGTCCAACGCCGTACGATAATAGTGGGTATCAATAGCTGCAAGGGTATATAAGAGATGCATCTCTTATATACCCTTGATAGCTGACTGGCAGTTCGTAAGCGATGACTGCATATTATACAGTCACCGCCACCCTTTTCTAGCTCTACGACGACTCGAAACGCATCAGCACTGCTCAAGAAGGCCACAGCGAACGATAGAGCGTTCTCAACACCATGCGCCACAAAGGCACTTGGGCCCAAAGCCAGACACGGAAATAGGTGCTACGGCTTACTAGTATGAGTTGCCATAACATTTCTATACAACGACGATCGCAGTCGTCCAATGGGATGCTGAGAAATGTCGTGTTATGCGTCGAGACTCTTTGGGTTGCACAAAGCGTTCTTACTCTTTTGACTCAGGTCGACGGCTTGAAATGGCGCTTGTCGCACGTACACGGTACGGGCGCACGACCATGCTTTCGAACACGACAACTTTGCGCAGCTTTTCGCCCTGACGTAAAATAGAAGCTACCGGCCGACCTTTGAGCAGTTCCTCCATCAACTGGCTTCTACAAGTGCCGACGATATTGATGACCTCTATGCTTCTATGGTCGCCGACCTTTCCGAGTCGGTTGCGTCCGAGCAACAGCTCGCGGGCATTGGCAGTGCGATGGAGACGGCTCTCGAAAGTCCCAAGGGTGCCGTCGTTCAAACAGCGGTGTCAAGTCGCACTGGCGGCCTTCGCGCGTTGACGCGAAGGGCAACGATCTAGTATGGCGCAAAAACCGAGTTCGAGACGCGACGCAAGGCTATCGAAGCACGAGAAACTCTGCTGGAGCCAGCCTGCATCTCCTGCATCTCCAGTCGCGTCGGCGATGAATGGCCCACCATGCGATCGAATTAACATGTTAAAATGCGAATTCGTAGGCAGACAGGTGTCGGTCGATATAATGATGGAAATGACGTGATCAATGGTGCCCACGACCACAAAATGGTGCCCTGAGACGGACAATCGAGCCGCATTTCGAGGTCTGTCTTTATGAGCATTGCCAATATCAGCATGACTAGAGTTGTGCGCTCGAGACAGATTGGTGCTCGCTCGGATCCAGCGACCAGCGTCTTGTCGCGAATGGCTTTGTCCCTGAGCGTGCGACGACGTTGCTCGTCGCTATCGCACACACCGCTTCAAAAAAGATACACGGTTTCGTCAACCAATCACAATGCGCGCTTCAAATAGTGCCAACCAATCAAACGCTGGTACGAAGCGATTACACTCATACTCATCAAAACCTCCATACTAATCCGCCATTGCGTGAAC